GAGGACAGAGCACGGCGAGAGGTGGGGTGGTAGAACTGCCACCCATGCGTGTCAGGGGGGAAGCCAAGGAAGACGCAAGGAGTAGCAGGAGGGGACAGCTTGTCCGCAGACAAGTCGCGGACAAATGCCTGAGATCCCCAGACACGGAACGCAGACGCATCGCCAACCTTCCCGGTCCACAGCAAAGCTGGGGAGGTCTCCGGCATGGAGACCCTGGGCTGAAGGTTGATCTGATGCGCCGCGTACCAAACCGCAAACGGCCACAGAAAATGGGGGGCAGCCGCATGCATCATGGACGTACGGGCGACGTCCATGACCATGCCAATGCAGCGCTCAGCAATCCCATTTTGTTGTGGAGAGTCCGGAAGCATGAAGGTCTGGCGGATGCCTCGTGCTTGACAGTAGGCTTGCAGAAGGCCAGGGGAGAACTCTCCGCCTCTGTTAGAGTGCAGACGCAGAACAGGAAAGTCCGAGCCGAAGCTCTGCCTGAGCTGGAGACGAGCTGCGCGGATCCAGTCGATCAACACCTCAGTGACATCACCCTTGCTGCGCAAGGGGAATACTGTGGTGTAACGCGAGTAGTCGTCAACCACCAGCAGGAAGTAGCGCTCGTGACCCTGTCCACGGATGCGGGTTGGGCCCCACACGTCCATGTGAAGCGTCTGCAGCGGGGCCTCTGTGGGAGGAAACTAGGAGGAGTGAGGGGCAGCACGCTGCCGCCCCTCGACACAGGGGACGCAGGCAGGGGCAGGCCCCGGGGGAAGGGGAGGGAGGGACCGGGGAAGACCAGAGACAAGGACACGGGAGGCCATGCCTCGGAGACGAAGCAGGGAGGGGTGACCAAGGCGGTGGTGCCAGAGGAGAGTCTTGTGAGACAGGAGGCGACACGAGCAAGGGGCAGACTCAGGACCAGACCTGGACGCTGCAGCAAACACCTGACCCGACGCAGCTACCTGACCAGACGCAGTGACAGGAGGAGACTCAGTGGTCAGTGTGTACAAGCTCGACTCCGGCCGACGTGTAAACGTGGCCAGGTGTCGGCCTGTCCGAGCGTCCGTGTAGTGGGTCACCCGCTGACTCGCAGGAGTGAACTGGTGAACCCCCGCATCCTGTAGGTCAGCTCCACTCACAAAGTTCGTAGAGAACGAGGGGAGGTAAAGACCAGACAGGGTGCCAGAGGGGGCCGCCGGACACGGGAGGACAGTGGAGAAGTGAGCAAGGACAAGACCCCCAGAGGGGTCTGCCAGAGAGACTGCAACTGGCCGACCAAGCAGCGTGAGTGTGGTGCGGTCTCGAAAGAAGGAGTGAGAAGCCCCCGAGTCAAGGGTGAAGGTGTGGGAGGCCGAAGCCGATGCGGTACCTGAGAGAGCAGACTCACCAGCACTTGAGGAAGCAGACGCACTGGCACCTAGAGCAACAGCCTCGCTAGCACCTAGAGCAGCAGCCTCACCAGTACCTAGAGCAGCAGTCTCAATGCCTGGGTCGTGCGAAAAACACCGGTAACAGTCACTCTCATCACTAATAGTCACAACATACATGGCAGCAAGAATAGCATCAAAGTCAAGGTCAAAGATAGCTACTCCCGCCCTAGACAACTCGCCCCAGCGAGGGATCTCAGTGGCCTCAGGAAATTAGTGACGCCAAGCGTCCGTCAGGCGGCCAAAGCAGCGCTGGGTGGAGTGCGCACCCCCGCACTGCTCACCCGCGCGGTCGCCGGTGCGTAGGACGTAGGTGCACGGACCAGTACCCCCACCCCGCTGGCGTGCAGCGTACCACTCACGGAGCTGCTGAGGGAGGGGGATGTCACGAGTGCGCTGCTGCTGCTGGCCCTGACCACCACCGGAGCCGACCCTCTGCGAAGCGCCGCTCCGACCAGCTCCGACTCCTCCGCCGCCACCGACACCTCCACCCCCGCCACCACTCCCACCACCACCCCCACCCCCTCCATTGCCGCCACCGCCACCTCCCCCACACCCGCCAGCCCCTGCAGCGCCCTAGCCCCCCTTGCCCTTGCCAGTGCGGCGTCTCCCGCTCGGGGCAGACGCAGCGCCGACCGACTCGAAACCAATGAGGTCGGCCGCAGCAGCAGAGGCAACAGAGGGCAAAAGGGGGGAGGGGGAACACCCCCCAAAGACGGGGGTGCGAGGGTCACCACGAGAGGCTCCTACAGCGACTATGCTCTTCTCTGCCGCTAGGAGGGCCTTCTCGAGGAGGTCAATGGTGAGAGTGGTGGGGCAAAAAGAGAGGAAGTGGTCCCTGACTACACGGAGAGAGTCAGGGAGCCGAGTGACTATGTAGTAGAGGGTGATGTACATGGGGGGGGGGGGGGGGGTTCTTGGCGCAGAACTCAGCAGGAAGCGCAGCGCGGTAGCGAGTGTCACTAGTGCGGAGGTGCGTAATGAGGTCAGTGACTGTGGGAAAGGCAGCAAGGTCAGGGAAGAGGTACGGTAGTATGAGGCGGCTCAGTGCAGCAGTGGCAGGGGAGGAGTAGCGTGCAACTACAGCGTCGTACAAGGTCTGAGCACTCTTGTACTGGCTAAAGTGCGCACGCTCAGAGGTAGGCACGTGGCGACGCACAGCAAGACGTGCAGCAGCATCGCGTGTGGCCCACTGTGAGCGAACAATGGCATCAACATCAGCAGCAGGGGCAGGAGAGGCACCAGAAGTGAGGTCAAAGAGGGAGAGACCGTCTGCCCTATCGCACTGTAGGAAAAGCTGCAGGTCATCTACCCAGACGTCAAAGTCAATGGCTCGACCCTCAACGTCAAAAGCGAGGACACTAGGGGTAGCCATGATAGCAGTAGACTAGCAGCGCGAACAGTAGGGTAAGGGCAGTGCTGTGATAGAGGCGCTGCTCTTACCGGACAGGGCGGCTCGGGCGGCTCGGCGGCTCGGCGGCTCGGCAGGAAATGCAGTTCGGAGACTCGGCGGCTCTGGCGGCTCGGGCGACTCGGCGGTACGGCAGCTCGGTAGCAACTGCGGCTCGACGACTCGGCGGCTCTGGCGGCTCGGGCGGCTCGGCGGTACGGCGGCTCGGCAGCTCGGCGACCCGGCAGCTCGGGCGCCTCAGGTGGCGCGGCGGCTCGGGCAGCTCAGGTGGCTCGGGCGGCTCGGCAGTAGCTCGGCGGCGCCGGCGGCTCGGTGGTGACGGCAGGGCCGCGTGGGGACGGCGGCGGGGCCGGTAGAGGCGGCGCCGGGGCCGGGAAGGGTAGCGCCGGGGCCGCAGGGTAGGCGACGGGGCCAGCAGAGGCGGCGCCGGGGCCGGGAAGGGCGGCGCCGGGGCCAGGAAGGGCGGAGCCGGGGCCGGGAAGGGCGGCGCCGGGGCCGCATGGTAGGCGATGGGGCCAGCAGAGGCGGCGCCGGGGCCGGGAAGGGCGGCGCCGGGGCCGCAGGGGTAGGCGACGGGGCCGGGAGAGCGGCTAGGAGGGGGGTCGCGAGGGCGGCTTGAAGAGGCCGCGAGGGCGGCACGAAAGGGCCGCGAGGGCGGCGCGAACGGGCCACGAGGGCGGCGCGACGCGACGGAGCCGCGAGGGCGGCGGATCGAGGCCGCGAGGGCGGCGCGACGCGGCCGCTAGGGTGGCGCGACGTGACGGGGCCGCGAGGGCGACGCGACGGGGCCGCAAGCGCGACGCGACGGGGTCGAAAGAGGGGAGCGCGACTCGGGCAGAGTAGAGGGCGCTCCAGGCAGGAGAAAAAAGGTGGTGGGCCCTAGGAACAGTTCCCACAGGGGAACCTGCTCGATACCATGAGAAAATGAACAAGAATGAATTGACTAAGGGAAAGTTGGGTACAAGTACAAACCCTAGAAGGTTGTACCCCATATGTGCTACCCCACTATAGCCTACAACAGCTATGCCATATAAATCTGACAGTCGCCACGCCCACCGCCAACACAGCAGAATTTGCTGTCAAGGACAGGTTCAAGCTGTCCTTGACAACTTATTGCAGCAGCAGTCCTGTCGTGCTGGCCATACAGTTCCCGCCTCGTGGAAGAATCTTTCCTTGAGAGGCAGCCAGGGGGTCGTTCTCTTCGAGGGGGTCTCTCGCTTGGCCCTCATTCTCAACCATGCTCCAACTTTCATCTCAACAATGCCCACTTGAGAGCCCGATCCACCTGATGGGACAAGAAACGGCCTCTCTGTGCTGGGCGTTTTACCACGCCTTAGCGAGAACTACGCCGTGCCCATCGCTCAGCCGCCGCCTCGTGAGCCGTCACCTGAATGTGTGGTAGGAACGGTTTATCCGTTCGAGAGAGAGGCTGAGGCGATCCACCAGGGAGTTCGACCCCACCACAGCTTCACAGACTCAGTTTGTAGAAGATGTAGGCTGTGGGGGTGGCACTGAGTAGGTGTGTAGTTCATGTGTGACTATTGTAGAGTGAATGGACTTTGGGTGTATTACTTTATTTCTGATTTTATTAAAACCGTAGCTCACAAAACTGTAACCAAAACACAATTGGCCCGAAAATACCCTGCTCAAATCAGCCTAGTGCCAGAGTTACCCTGCTGAAATCAGGCTACGGAAAATTCTACCCAAGGGGTCTGTTCTAGGAGGGGCTGGTACCCTGACTTGTAAGAGTAGGCCAAAACCAATTTTGGGCCCTGGGCGAGGCGAAAGAGGTTGGAGTTGGAGGGGGGGGGGGGAGGGGTGAGAAGAGGGCATGAAATGCAAGCATGATGCCACCCACCCAGATGCCGATCTCGCCCCACCTGGGGCTTGTCCCTCCCAATCATGTGCATGTGGTGCATGTGGTGTATGTTGTGTATGTGGTGTATGTGGTGTATGTGGTGCATGTGGTGCATGTGGTGTATGTGGTGTATGTGGTGTATGTGGTGTATGCGGTCCCTGTCAGCGCATGTAAGCTTCCACCTTCCCATGTCATGAACAGCAGGGTTGTTGCCAGCAGAAGAGTTTCTGTCTGTGTTCTAGAGATTGGAGAATGTATTGATATGGTACAAGGATTGTATTTGCAACATATGCAATACACTTTCTGCTATACTTTAACAAGTAGGAAATAGTATTCCCGTCATCAAAGTATCAGGAGATCGTGGTGCAGCGGTGAACTTCAACGCGCCAGTTGTGGCAACATCACAACGAGAGAAGCAGTCAGCTGCCTTCTTCTGTGCGCCGGGAGGAACAGCTGATGCTGGGGGCAGTGTCGTTGTTGGTTGCCGTGCCGCTCCTGCTAGGTGCTGCCTGCCCTGAAGGCAGCAGGGCAATGGCGTTTGCAGGAACAGCTGAGGAAGAATGCTCACCCTAGGAATGTAGGGTGATGTGGGGGAGCGCATGGCAAAGGATGCCATGTGCTGAATACGAGTGAGAAAGTGCTTAGCACTGGAGAGTCCAAAAATCACGAACTAGGACATTAGATGCAGATCCGAGCAAGGCAAATGATAGAGAACTTGGAAATGGGACAAGTTCTTTTCGCGCACCATGTGAAAAGTGAGCTCGGTGAGACACATCTTATTGGTGAAGTACAATCCATACAGCTGAACATCTTGATGTCTACGAGAAACATTACTAGCAACGATTGGCCAAGTTATTATGGTCGGTGCTGGCATCACCTGAGTACTAAACTGCAATGTAAACCAGCAAGGACAACGGCTAGTTTCGCGCCTTGTATGAAAGTGGCCATTCACATCATTGAGCCACCCTGTTATTCGGAGATCCCGCGACGCCATCCGGGCTCGTGCGCGTTACGCCTTCCACGCGGCCTTGGCGCTCTGCGCCTTGCCAAGGGCGGACGCGAGCAGGCTCTTGTCGGCGCCGCCGGCGGGGAGCATGATGCTCACACCGTTGATGGTGGCGATCGAGTTGTCGATCTGCCCCGCCACCAGCGCGCGCTGCCCAGTGCGAATCAGAATGGCGGCGTTGCGCAGCGCCGCCGCCGTGTCCGTGAGGCTCTTGACGTACGTCTTGACGGAGAGCTTCGCCTTGGCGCTGTCCACGTCCACCGCCGCCGCATCCAGCAGCGATACCACCTTCGAGTCCGACCCGCTCAGCTTCACTGCCGGCTTCCCCGCGCCGGGCGTGCCGGGCTTGCCGGAAGTGGCGGGCTTGCCAGGAGTGGCGGGGGTTGTGGGAGTGGGGGGAGTCTTCTTGCCGCCCTTCTTGTTGGGAGTGGTGGGAGTTGAAGGCGAGGGAGTGGGAGGAGACTTCTTCGACTTCTTGTCCTCCTTCTTCTTGTCCTCCTTCTTCTTCTTGTCCTTCTTCTTCTTGTCCTTGTCCTCGTCATCATCGTCGTCGTCATCGTCGAGAATCCTCCTCGTCGCAGCGTCGTCGCTGAGAGCATTTGTGGCGTCGAGCTGAGCCAGATCGCCGGACATGGCAGCGGCAAGCGCGGACGAGGCAGCCTTGGGGACGGCGAGCTCGGCGGAGGCGTTGAGGCAGAGCGACGCCAGGACGAGCGCCACCAGGGGCAGCGCACAGGCTAGCGCGGACATTCTCGAGTACGCCATGGCTATTCTTCGGAAGCAGGCAGACTATTCGATAAAAGGAACAGGAGCGTTTGAAGGGCTTGCTTTGTGAAACTGGGTTGAGATACGATGAGGAATGGACTTTATGGGCGGAATTTATGGAAAAGAGTTAGCGGGGGGCTGTGGTGGGAGGAGGTGGAAGCTGGGAAGGCATTTCTCAATTCTCGATTGAGATGGATTGTGCGGCTCGGAAATGTGGGAGGGCGACTCTGAGAGGGGGTTGTTCGCTTGCCTGCGAGGCTTGACGGATAGCACGTCGCACGCGACCAGGCATACCGTTCAGTGCGACGGGGATGGTTCGGTCGTCCAACTGTGGCGTGGTTCTCGCTGGGTGGTGCTGCTGTGGCAACGAAATAACGTTGGCGAAGAACTGGCGTGACGAAATCGTGGACGATGAGCATGAGTGGGTTGGGCAGGCTACGAAACTCGCGCGAACGACGACTTTCGTGGTGTTATTCAGCACCTCCGTGTCATCACGCTCACAAGGAATCGCACACCACCCTTCCATCGCACATCCCTAAAATTCGGATGTGTGGCGACGAGACTCGATGTATGCACACCCGTTCCATGCTGTTTGTTACGAGTGAAATTGAACGAGCGAGAATTTGTTATGGGTGGAATCAATCTTGGTAGCGAGGATTGCACTAAGGTGTTCAACGAGTACCAAGTATGAGCCAAGGCATGAGCGAGTCTGCTTATAGGTGAAACATGCAAACGGTAACACGGTGCATGCGAGCTAGCTAATGCTACGCTGGCGCGAGGTTCGGGCTAGTCCCGAAGCGTAGGCCGACTCGGCTACTCCAGCAGAGCGAGGTTTGGTGAAACAGCGCGCGCGAAGTTGGCGAAGCCCCGTTAGCAGCAACGGGCGAAAAACGGCTGCTGCTGTACGTGATGTTGACAGTCGCGGTAAGAACCCCCCTCCGCTATGCGAGTGCGTGTACATCGCGGTTCCTGAGGTACACTTGTTGGGCAAGGTGGTTTTCAATGTTGGCCAGGGGCACCCAGCTATCCTCAGTTGGTGTGCGGTCCTTCCAGCGAACGAGGAACTCGATCCTCTTGACACCTGTGGGGTGTCGAATTCGATGGGTCAGAATTTTTTCGGGCTCGGTGGTCTGCTCCGATGTAGGGCGAGTCATGGATGGCGGACGGTGATGAGGTAGTTGGCTCGTGGTTGGGATGTAAGGGCGAAGCAGGCTGATGTGGAATGATGGGCTGATGTACCCGTCTGTCGGCAACAGTAAGTGGGCGGTAACTGATGTGATCATATGGCTGATTTGGAATGGTCCACAGTAGCGCGGTCGTAATTTCGGCACGACGGGCAGTCTTAAGTTCAGTGTATCGAGCAATAGGTAATCCCCTGACTGGTACGTGACTGGGCGGCGGTGGCAGTCAGCGTTGCGTTTTGCGATGACGTTGGCTTTTTTTATTGCTTCTGCGGCTATTGTGCGGATAGCTTGCATGATCTCGGTGAATTGCTGTGCGCGTGGCGTTGGGTTGTCCGGACTCGGCGTCTTGGGCACTGTTGGATTTTGCCCGTAGTGCAGGTAGAAGGTGTCAGAATCCCAACCACTAGACCATTGGGATACAATGGCTTGTTAAGTAGCGGGTCAGTGCGCCCATAACCCCCTTGTAACAATGAGCCTGTAACCCTTCCCTAGGATCAATCAGGGATCACCAGTGGACCTTCGACACCTCCCCGCACTGGGATGCTTGAAGTGCACACACTGGGATTTGAACCCGTGACCTCTAGCACGAGCACCTCCAGGACCAGCAGCTCCAGCACCTCTAGTAGCAGCAGCACCACCAGCTCCGGCAACTCCAGTAGCTCTAGTACGAGCACCTCCATGACCAGCAGCTCCAGCACCTCCAGCAGCAGCAGCAGCACTAGTGCCTCCAGCGCCAGGGCCTCTAGCGGTAGGGCTTCCAGCTCCAGCAGCGCGACTTCGAATTCAGGTGTGCCAAGCATACCACTCGCCCAGTTGCTGTGGTGAGAGAGGCTCCCAACGGCTAGACCGCTAGGGCGAGGTACCAATGGGACCTCCAGGACTAGTAGCTCCAGCACCTCCAGTACCTCCAGTACCAATAGTACCTCCAGCACCTCCAGAACTAGCAGCTCCAGGGCCTCCAGCTCCAGCAGCGCCACTCCGAGGCGGGTGCGCCGAGCAAACCATTTGCGCAGCTGCTGTGGTGAGAGAGGCTCCCGTAGTGTAGACGCAGTACCCCCAGGCTCAGCACCCCTAGACTCAACACCCCGAGGGTCCGCACACTCAGGCTCAGCACCCCCAGGCTTTGCACGCTCAGACGCAACACCCACAGGCTCCAAACCCGTAGGCTCAGCACCTCCAGGCTCCGCACGCTCAGGCTCAGCACACCCGAGCTCCGCACTCGCAGGCTCAGCACCTCCAGGCTCCACATGCTCAGGCTCCGCAACCGCAGGCTCAGCAGCCCGAGACACAGCACCCCGAGCAGCACCAGAGTCACCAGTGACCTTGACAGGCTCAACCAAGGGCAGTGGGTCTACCTGAGACACACCTGAAGGAGCAGGACCCTGAGGGGGGAGGGGGTCTACCAGAGGGGGACCTAGAGCAAGGAAGAGCGGCAGGGGGGGGGGGGGGGGAGAGGGGTAGAGCGGTAGGGGAAGAGACGGTAAAAGGGAACCGACTCGTCGAACATGACGTCCTGAGAGGGCAGGACACAGCACAAGGTGGGGTGGTAAAACTGCCAGCCAGGCACGTCAGGGGGAAGCCAAGGAAGACGCAGAGAATGGCGTGGGAGGAGAGCTTGTCCGCGGAGGTATCGCGGACAAAGGCATGACAGCCCCAGACCCGGAACACCGACGCATTGCCAACCTCTCCCGTCCAACGCAGTGTCGGCGAGGTCTCCAACAAGGAGACATGGGGCTAGAGGTTGAGCTGATGCGCAGTGTACCGGACCACAAACGGCCACAGAAAATGGGGAGCAGCTGTGAAAACAAAGAACGAGAATGGATGACTATGAAGTGAAGTGAATACAAATAGGAAACCCTAATGTGTTGTACCCCCTATGGGATACCCCACTATAGCCTACACAAACAAGTAAGCTATATGTTCTGACACACCCCCATAGGCAAAGTGGGGGAGAACAAGGGGTCACAAAACCAGTCAAGCAAAGCAAAGCAAAGCTCAGGGTGGATCACAAAGTCACCACGCATTCCGAGCACAAGTTCAAAGGCCACAAGGCCAGTTCACATGCAAGATCATATATAGAGATATACAAGAGCAAGAGTATATATATGCGAAGTTACAAGCAAGGTCAAGAGGAGAGCAAGTGAGGCAAGACAGGCACAAGACCCAACTGCGTGCAGCAACGCTGATGATCACAAGGCGCAAGTGCCTTGGTGAAGACATCAGCAGTGTTGGCCTCAGAGGCCACGTACGCAAGTCGCAGCTGTCCACGCTGCTGTAGCTCACGAGCAAGAAAGTAGCGAAGAGCAATGTGCTTCGTTCTGTGCTCCAGTCGCTACTCTCGACACAAGGCCAGCATGGCCTTGTTGTCTACGTACAGGACTGGAGGAGAACGAGGCTGCTCTCCAAGGTCGGTCAGCAGGTAGGTGAGCCAGCGTAACTCCTGTGCAGCCATAGCCCCAGCGTAGATCTCAGCCTCACAACTGGAGCCGAGAACAGAAGACGAGCGGGTAGCCCGCCACGAGACAGAGCCGGAACCAAGGCTGAAGGTGTAACCCTGTGACGACCGCTGCGTAGCCTGGTCGTCAGCCCAAGAAGCGTCTGCGTGCCCAGTGAGGACCACTGGACTGCGCCCTCCAAGCACTAGCCCCATGCCCGACGTACTGCACAAGTAGCGCAACACCCTCTTCGCTGCAGCCATGTGCTCTGGTCGGTGTCTCCCAGGAGCAACAAAGCGTGCAAGAATGCTAAGAGGGTATGCGAGGTCAGGTCGTGTGCAGGTCATCAGGTACATGAGGCAGCCAACAAGCTCTGCAAACGGGCCACTCGACTCTACGGACTCATCCGAAGGCAGAGCTGAGAGCGAGTGGCGAGTAGGCAGAGGAGTGGCCTGAGGCGAGGAGTACGTGAAGCCGAAGCGCTGAAGGACCTGCTGCACCATGTGTGACTGAGTCAGGGTAATGGTGCGGCGTGCTCTGTCCCGGGTGATCTGCAAGCCAAGGTAGCTACGCAGTTCACCCAGGTCAGTGCACGTGTGTCTCTTCTGCAGCTCGGACTTCACGTAGGCTAGTCCAGCAGTGTCAGCTGTGGCAAAGACCAAGTCGTCGACGTACACGAGGATGTAGAACGGCGGCAGAGAGGTGTCGGTGCGCAGAAACAGCGACGGGTCGGCAGTGGAAGGAGCAAACCCAAGTGCCGCGAGCGTAGTCCTCAGTGTGTCGTGCCACTCACGTGGCGCCTGGCGGAGACCGTAGACTGGACGCCGGAGACTCCACTGGGTACCAGGAGGGAAAGACCCAGTGAAGCCAGGTGGGCGACGCAGCCAGATCTCCTCGTGCAGGCTGCCCTGCAAGAAAGCTGTGCTGAAGTCGAGAGAGTGGAGCTCGTAGTCACGGTGAGCAGCAACGTGCAGCAGAACCCGAAGAGTGGTCATCTTCGGGGTGGGGGAGAAGGTCTGAAAGTAGTCAACCCCCTGCCGCTGACTGAAGCCACGAGCCACGTAACGCGCCTTGAAGACAGGCGGGGAACCCGGCGGCCGCTTCACCCTGAAAATCCACATGCCACTGACGATGTTCGCCCCAGGAGGGGGAACAGCGTCAACGTAGGTGCCTGTGGACTTCCAGGAAGCCATCTCTGCGTCCATAGCTGCCTGCCACTGAGAGGAGTAGGGACCCTCTATCGCCTCCGCGTAAGAGCGCGGAGTCGGGATGTCTGGTGCATCCGGGTCTCCCTCAGGGGCTAGCAGTACAGATGCGAGATGGGGTGAAGGTGCGCAAGGCCTCAGCAGGCGCAGTACCAGAGAGAGTAGACTCACTTGCA